GGATTAATTTATAGACAAATCACTCCCATTGAATCGTCAATTCTTGAAATACTGCGACGTGAGTTTATTTGGCGCGTTAAATATTAAATGGCGGGAACGTGTGATTCAAGCTCCCTGAGCGCATTATCGACCAATTTTGTCCGCGTTCGCAGTCTGCTCTTGGAGAAGGCGTTTGTGAAACTACCTCGCAACTCTTTTCGCGTAATTCCGGATTACTGGCGGTCGTCAATGACGATGAACGTTGAACGTGGACGAAGAGCGTTGCGCGAGGAACCGAGAGATGGCCGGCGGTTGCGGCGTCGCGACGCCCGGCGCTCCGGCGACCGGCGCCGACGGCGGTAGTTGCGTCGGCGTCGTCGTCGTCGTCGCGCGACGTCGCCCTCGTCAGACCGGCACACGGGGTTCGACCATTGGGGCTGGGCCGTAGGGAGGGGGGGAACACGTCCGGTGGCCAGCAGCGACGCGGCGGGTGCGAGGGTGGCAGTCGTGCCGGGCACGCGGGCGGGGGTAGGAGGGGTGCAACGAACCCTCTCGCCTCGGCTCGAGTCTACGGAGCACGGAGTTGTGTTCGAATCATGGCGACACCCGACCCCGTAGACCCAGCCACCCTAGAGATTAAGACCCGTAGCATAGAACAGACACTACTCCCGCTAGTGAAGCAGGTAAGACGTGTTTCCGGTCGCGTGAAAACGCGGCGACCGGACAGTTTTCGTTCGCACCGGCGGCGCGCCGTCTCTTTCCTGTCTGTCTCTTTCTGCCTGCATCCCTTTTACTCTCTCTCTCTCTCTCTCTCTCTCTCTCTCTCTCTCTCTCTCTCTCTCTCTCTCTCTCTCTCTTTCTCACTGTCCCTCTCTTTCTCACTGCCATCTCTCTTTCTCATTCGCCGTATCTCCGTCACTGTCTCGCGCTCGTTTTCCGTCTGTGTTCCCCTCGCATGACGTCTTTCTCGCTTATTCAGCATATCTACATCACATCTACATCGCGTTGCATCTCTCTCGCATTTTTTTCTCTCGAATAAGGATCGAGATAATTGTCGAAATCCAAGAGTTATTCCTAATATTCATTCTCTCTCGCTATTCCAATCACGCGTGCGACGACGGAGAAATGCCGCGCGCGATGAACATCACGAGACGTCAGAGGAAAAAATGGGTGCGCGTGCACCCAGAGGCAAAGCAGACGGTGGATATCTCCTGGAGATTGAAAAGGCGAGACGCGGAAGAGGAGAACTCGAGACGCATCACGCTCCCCTATGACGCCACTCCACTAAATTAGAAATAGTCGAGGCAATTTTCACGCTTTCGCTTTCTCGCTCGTAGAAATTTCGCGGATCGCGTCCTCATCTTCGGATACGCATACGTCGTTTATTCGCGAATGTCAAGTCGGTCCCGCGACCCTATTAAGCGCATCCGATGCTATTTCGCCAAGTTTGACAATTCCGATGCCAGGCATGTGTTTAATACGTCCAACTTGTCACGAAACACGCGCCGCATACACGGAGAGTAACGGAGATATTTCGGTGGTCCACCGTCTCTGTCATTCTCCTAAACCCTCTTATCTTTCTCTCTTTTCTTCACTCCGTTCTATCTGTCCTTCTCTCTCTTTCTCTCTCATGCTCTCTGCACATTTCTCTTTTTCTTCTACGTTGCTCACTTTAATTCTTGTGGCGCACGCTCACCTCACGCTGCTTGTCGGCGCCGACACTGGTATTTTCGTGGAATTACGTCGAATTTACGCTGCACCCTCGTTGCATAATCACCGGCACGTGCGCGATGCACGCACGTGAGCCGCATACAAGGATCTGCGGATCGCGGGTCAAAGGCCTCCAAACGACCGTTCGCGATCAAAGAATAGACCGCCCCCCCCCTCCGATTTCCACGGCACGATCGAGGAATTTTACACGTGGAAAAGATGTACAACACGCAAACTTAGAAATTAAAAATTTCTTGTTTCGTTCTTTTACAGAATTCTATTAATTAATGCAGTAAAATTTTCATTCGATTAACATTATACAGATACGTTGTGCATCGAACTATCAACGTTTATTTACGCGCCCAAAATGTCAATCGATATTTGCTTCATGTACTATTTTCCAATATATGCTCAAAATTTCTATTTTGGGATTACAGAATATTATTGTACTAATTTATGATCGTTATTAGATGTTTTCTCGTATCTATATAGAGAGTTTTACATTAACTGATATTTTCTTCTAATACATGGCTGAAATGTATCTTTCGACAAAAATATCTATGAATGCACAATGCACCGCCGCATGCAGTAGACCGCACTCACGTATATAATACGTATATATACATACATATATATTCACGCTTATATGGATAACAAATTCGAAATCATGAGCGTTCAATTAAATGGCGTGTATTTCAATATATATATTAATTGAAAGACTTTTCATTATCCGATAAAATACATTATAGCAAATTATCATCAACCACAGCGATACGTGTTGCCGAAATATGAAAATTAACTGCCGGTTCAACAAATATATCAGATTAGAATTTTGCGATATATATAATCGCGATGCATCATTAAACGAAGAGAGAAAACCAAGAGATAAAAAAATATTTTGCCAATTTAAAAAGAAATAAGTTCCGCTTCTCACGAAAAGAATTTATTGCGCTTCAAAGAGAGAAAGCACGAAATATCTCCAATAATTATCTTTTTCACGATAACGAATCTATCTTTTCCTAACATTGACAAGTCCTTGAGGGAGCTTGAAAAAAACCGCATCTCATTTCGCGGTTAAGTTCGTCAAATAAAACCGAGAGACCGATCTAATTCACACTTTCACCGCGTCATCAAAGCCGACCGTGTCTAAAAAAAGGGATTACGCAGGCCGATTGCTGCCGTCGTTTCCGTCGGACCCATTACGTCTCGTGCAAACAATCCCGAAGAGTATTAAGGAAAGAAAAGGGAAAGGTCGGATTCTTCGATCTTTCTTTGTCCAAAGAAATTGTGATACCCGAGACACGCGAGAAAATAAACGAAACGTTAGGCCAGGTCGAGCGAATCCTCTTTCTCTCCTCGTTTCTCCTCCGAAGTTCCACTTAATTTAACAGTCGTCGATCCGACACCCTACGCCCTACACTAATTTCCAGCCAACTAGCTTAAAGATGGTCGCGATAGTACTGCTAAAAGAAAAGCAAGCGAAAATAAGGGACGATGAAAAATCGATAGTTTCGCAAGCGCACATCGATCGAATCTCGCTTGACGCGATAATTATCATTGATAAAATGGGAACGCGTGGCAGCGAGACTGAAGTAAAAAGAAGAACGAAAAGGAAATAGACGCAGGTTATTTCGAGAGTATGGAAGAGGGGTGCCGATCGCCCGCTCGTGGTCGACCTTCGTGTCGTGTTTATCGATATTTCTGGCGGCGTGGCAGCGTGTACATACGTGTGCACACGATGTGTGTGTGTGTGTGTGTGTGTGTGTGTGTGTGTGTATGTGTATTGGTTAACCCCCTTGGGTTAGGAGGGCGTGCAGTACGAGTGGCTTGGCTGGTGCATGGCACAGAGGGCGATCGTTACGAGCTGCAGCCACTTGTTAGAGCTGCCGCCTAGCCGCCCCTGCTCGGACCTTCTTCTATCCCTCCTCTTACTTCCTTCGACTGTCACCTTCTTCTACTTTTTCGCCCTTACTACTACTACTACTTTGCTTGGCAGCCTTCGCAGGGCTTTAAGCCGCTTTCTTAGCGATTTCCGTCACGATTTCAACCCCCGCGCCGGATCTTTTATTGACCGTCGCTACTGCCCGGCGATTTTGTCAGCAACTGTGAACTTGGCGCATTTCGATTACTGTCCTATCCGAAAATCATCTTTGGATGATTCGGAAAAATCACCGATTGTACCATCACTCTTTTAAAAATTGCGGAACGTCGGGAGAAAATTTAAGGATATTTCTTTAAAAATTATTCGATTATAAAAGAAGGAGATGCAATGTCTTTGATGCTATGCTCTTTCTCTTTCTTGGAATAGATAATAATCGTATTCCATCACGCTGTTCGAGAATAATTTCATTCACGGTATTACTTTTGAACGCTTCGATTGAGTTCGCACGTCAAAGTAACCTCTCATTAAATCGCTTCTTGACGTTAATAGTTCTCTAGTCGGACACCTTGAAATTTCATAGAACTTTTGAGAGTTGTATCGCTTAAACTTTGGCGAGTCAATGGTTATAAATGTGTAAAATTTGATAATAAACTCTAAACTTTATTAAACAGAATGTCGGAATAATTTCGTGTAAATTTTCTAATCATCAAACATCTTACAATCCTAATCGATGTAGAATATTAAAGATTGTAGAAAGCTCCACTACATTGAAATGCCAATCAATAAATTAAAAGCAATTTCGCGATTTCACAAAAGAAGCTATGGATATATAGTTTTTATAATACACACACACACGTGCATAAATATATCAAACACAATTAAATGTACGATAATTTGGCTACCGCTACTATTGTTACAACAACAACATATGTTTTAAAGAGAAAATTATCATTAGCTGCGACTATAAAGATAGTTAAATGACGCTTGAAATATCGTGCGTAGCAGCAGTGCGCTGAAAATATCTACTTACATCTCTCACGTAGCACGGCAGCCAAAATTACCCCATTTCTATTCGCCTTATTCATATTCATTCGCCTTCGTGTTTGTATCTCTCTCGCGGCAGTTCCATTACTCTCTCCTCGTCTTATACTTACTGTGAATTCCACGTTAGACGTTATACGTATATTGATCATCACTAATCGAAATGAACGGCGGACAAAGCATAGGAAGTATAAGAAGAGTTTCTCCGAAATAACATTCTTGGACATTTCAATTAACCCCGATCTCCGATCTAATCTCAAACTGGGTCTTACTGGTTGATGGCCGCGGATACTAAAAAGATACTGGGGAGTGATAGCGACTACTAATATTTGATTCTTCCATTCTGGAAGTTTCACGCAGAACACAGAGCTTTTTCAAAGCTTTTCCCTGAGCTTGATTCTTCCTCTCTCTCTCTCTCTCTCTCTCTCTCTCTCTCTCTCTAAATATAAGACATAATATTAGTCAGATATACACGTCGCGCAAACAAGTAACGTTTTAGACCGCGACGTGACAAGACTTTCTCGAACTACTCCCTGCACTATTTCGTACACAGCTCCGAAATCGGTTATTGTGCAAAAATATCACAAGTCGCTAAATTCAGTAGTATAGAAATTTTATATTATACTACGCGTTTTGTACTATCCAAAGAAAATTTCGAAAAGAACACTAAATATCTAATAATGTTAAAGCATAATATATAATAATACGGGAGAATACGACTATCTGCATTCTATTATCAATATCATAAAAACTCTTTAAAAATGGTAAAGTGGATAAGTGAACAATGTGTATTCGCAATGAGCATTTAACTGAAACTAAAATTCTGTCAAGTGACAATTATATTGCTACTCGACAAATTTTTCTGCATAACTCGAACGTTCCGACGTAACTCTCGCATGTGATACATATTTCAATTTTTCCCGACTTTCTCGTTTAATTCATTTTTTTTTTTTTTTTTTTTTTTTTTTTATATATACAACAAATAAACGAACTGCCATTCACGACTACTATTTGCATCCTCGAACGACATTTGCCAAGGCGCAATAAATG